GGGAGAGAGAGACCAGGTCCCCACCTCTTCCTGCTCTTTGTGTCCTGCCAGGCGGATATTAAGTCTGCTTGTACGTGTCACGCCAACGTAACCTTTCCATCCGGAATCGGCCGCTGTGCCCTGAGAGTGGGCAAGGGATAAGTGAGGGCATTCTGTAGGCGGCTCCTCCCCAGGACCCGCGTGCCCTCTTTCTCTCGTGTGACTCCAAGCTGGGAGACACCTCCTTCTGTGTCTCATTCCATAGCTGGAGGGAGAGTTTAACGCGTTTTCTTTCAGGTGAAACATGCCGAGACCGAAGCAGGCTGCTGGGGGGGGTGGGGGGAAGGGGGTGATGAGAGTGGGACTTTTCCAGGTGGACGGACCATAGATGTGTTTACGGGCTTTTTGCCTGTTCACTCGTTTTCTTGTGACCCTTCCCGCCCCTGATTTAAGGGGGTCTGTGTGCCGAACCACTTCCCAGACTCCCTTGTACCTCCGGCTTTCTCCGAAACTGTATTTTCTAATAAATGACATTTGAGAGAAAAACCTCAAATCAAGGAAATCGTCCTTTTTTTTATGACTGGCCGATGTTTCCATGTTCGGTGGGAAACGGCAGGCTGACAAGATGGACGTCACATGGTAGCTGTGTTACCCATGTCGACTTTTGTAGGTACTGGTGTACGGGTCAGCTTCATCCGGGTCACATCAGCCTCATCAGGTGGGGCATATGCTCCCCGTTTTACAGATGAAGAAACGGAAGCTCAGACCGAGGAGCACGGGGGACCCCTGGGGCTGCTAAGCAAAAGATGAGCAGTGTGCACCCAGCAGCCCCTCTCAGGAGGAAGATGAGACTTTCTGCGCCCAGAACAATGTACAGCCCTGGGAGCCCCCACAGGCATCTATAGGATGGCTTTGAGTCTAACTTGACTCCCTAGCAGTGAGCTCAGTATTGGGGGCTTTTAGTGTTGAGAGGGCACCCCGCTGACATGAGAAACCAGGCTAGTTTGACTCCACACCTCGTGTTTCTCCCCCTTGCTGATGTCCGTGGCAGTCTGATGCTGACCAGGAGGGGTGTACTGTGGCACAAAAGGAGTCCAGTGGCATCAGGCCAGCCTGCTCACCGCCGAACCGCCAAGGCTGGTGCTGCAACCCACCAGCTGCTCAGAGGGAGGAAGATGAGGCTGTCTACTCGCGTAAAGACTGATCGTCGCAGAAACCCCCAGAGCCGGTTTTGGGGTGGCCACGAGTGGAGCCGACTCCATGGTGTTGGGGTTTTGTTCTGTTTGGGGTGACACGCAGAGTACACGCCCCCGCCGGCACCTCTGAAGAAAGGCTCATTTAGCGAGCATTTACCAGCAAGCTGGCCATCACCAGCCCCGTGAAGTCCAGCTCTGCTTGGACACACACGGGGTCACCATGAGTCCGAGCCCCCCCAACAGCAGCTGCTGATGGTAGGTTGGCAAAATACTGGGTAGTGTTCCGAGCATTCTTACAGGGATAGCAGTCATTTTTCCGTCATGACAACCCCAGAATTCAGATGGCTCGTTCGTCACTTCTTCCAGTAGACATCACGTTCATTCTCACGCACCTCAAAATGCGGCGTGAGCGGCGCTCCTTGGAGTTGTGCACGGGCCCTGCACCAGACACCATGCCACGTGGGCGTGGGTGGGGTGGGGTTACAAAGGCCCCTAGACAATCTGCATTTAAGAAACGTACTGCCTAGTGAAAGACTACATTTTGTAAGACAGGAAATAAAAAACTCTTAAATGCCTCACAAAGATGAAACCATGAGAACAGATGTGTTGCAGAACTGAACACCGTTGCTCCCAAATGTGTGACGGAGGTGGGGGCGGAGGGGGTGCGCATCGGACCCAGACATTTTCAAAAAGTCCCCCGTGGGGAGCCACGTGTGCTGCTGGGGAATTTTGTGGGGCTTCTGGGGGGTTGGGGGCGGTACACAGGAGGAAGGGTTACCTGCTGCATGTCTAAGAGGCTTCAAGGTGTCACCACAGTCTGGACAAGTCCCTGGAGACCGATGAGAAGTTAGAATTTGAACCTGGCAAGGGTCTGAAGGAAATTTCTTGCCAAGTG